AAATAAAATGTTTGTTTTATTTGTAAATTATGTACAGAATACACTTTACGTTATGACAAGGAAGTGGGGAAGAAGGAAGAAGAGCCATCACCTCCCAACCAACGCTGTTCACTTTCTCTGTGGGAGGTGATCACCTTTCTCTGAATCAGATGTACAAATCAGTTTGGATTTCCTCAGCTGGAAGAGAAGAATTTGTAACTAACTAAAAGTGTTGCTGCATTGTTACTAGTTGGCTTGTTCCCACAAAATATTTTTGAACCCTGCTAACTCAGAATCTTAAAAGAAATTTCTTGGTATAATTTTATAGTGAAAAACAAAAGCTTAACTATCAAGAACAATGAGTTTAAGCATTTCCTCTTAAAGAAACCATGTCATGGTTACATACCTACACATAATCTGAAACGCTGGAGTTTCTTTATTCCTTTTAAAGTCTGGATTAGTCTAATAGTAAAAAGCCTTACAACTATCAAAAACAGCACTCATGTCATTGTGGAAAGTGCATTTTTGATAACTGTCAAAATGAATGAGATGTATTTACTGTAAAACTATCAGAGAAAACTTCATGGCTTTAGACTGCAACATTAGGAGTACCAATACTCTATAAACTGAAGAACTGAACAGCACTGCTTGGATATCAAACACATTGCAGTGAATGAATTTAAAGACTGCTACAATGCCGGGTGCACGTTATGATCAGCCAACATAGAAAATCCAACCTCTTGCACTTATTCAGTCTCGAAATTAGGCAGATTATGATTTTTCGTGTGAACATTTAGGTGTTTCTCCATCATTGTCTTCTTCCTCCTCCTCTTCACAATCTCCATCTGTTTGCTGTTCCAGTTCCTCTTTTGTGATCATTTCAAAATCATTCCCATTCCCACTACTGTGCTGGGATCGGTCATCTTCCCTCCTGTCACTGTCTGTGTCTGAATGCCGTTCTCCTCCCGAGCCTTCTGCTCCATGGTTTCCTGGTCCTACTTTTCCCTCCTCCTCTTCCTTTTTCTCACTGTCTGACTTTTCCTCACTGTCAGACTTCTGCTGCTTTTTGGTTTCAGACTTCTCATCTTTCTTTAGGTCTGCTTTTGGTCCTTTGTATTCGTGTGTGTACAGAGGCCTGAAGGAGTCAATGAAGCCCACGTCAGCAGTCAGATTTGGCAAGAACCAAAAGTGGTGCCTTCCTCCAGTTATGAGCCAAATGATGAGAAACAGAATGCAACGGGCTGTGGGGAGAGAAATTTCTCTAACTGAGTGATTCAAGCATTGACTCAGAGAGCAGGGAAGGGAGTATCTGTTCATTCAAAGCTGGCAAAACAGTTATTTCACATTTCAGGAGTGTCAACTATGAATACTTAAGTCCCGACTAGGTCAGCAGCTACTGCAGTATTCTCAGGACACAGCATTCTGCTCTGCACCAGAGGGCACAATGCTTTGTTGTTCTCAAAAAGTCACGTCTATGCTTCCCTTCCTCTGCATATACTTACGCTGTGTGTACTCTGTGATGTTATACTGGAACCATACAGTAGTCAGCTGGAAAGCTTAAGTGCTCGAGGGACAACAGTTTAAGAAAAAGAAATATGAGCAAGGGATGAAGGATATCTTAAGAAAGATAACCTAGTTCCTTCAAACAAGCAAAAAGCTGGGCTGGATCCATGGTGGTTAAGGGAGCTGGACCCCAAATAGTCAACCAGTGTGTCTGACTCCTGGCACCAGTGGCTTGCAAAACATGCCAGATGTATGTGTGTGCATACGTGCCCAGTATCTTGACTGGGAAGGTTGGAGAAGTGGAGAGGGGATTGTGGCTTGAGCATACCACCTTGGAGGTGCTCTCTTCCTCTCCCCTGTCTCACTGGCAAGTGTACCCACCTCCTGGCAATGAAAAAAAGGACAGTGCATGTCTACATCATGACATTCCTGGACTCCAGGAATTTTTGCCTTTGTAGGGCATTTCCTCCATTAAAAAAGATACTGAAAATTCCATTCGTGGGTGCACTGACATAAATCCGGATAGAATACTGCGCAGGGTCACTATTGCACAGCACATACATTTATACGTAGTGTTCCTGATTTTAAAAGAAATGAAAATGAAAACATTTCTGGGGGACCCTAAATATATTATTGGCCTGAGGCATGTGCGAGGCATGTGCTTACTCTGCCTGAAGGTAGGTCAATCCTGGACAAAGAATCCCAGTACTACCAAGTTTCCTTCTTACGATCCTTTTTTGTTTTATTAACTAGGTTAATTATATAATTTTTACTTATTTAAGGACCAAATCTCTCAATATTAGATAACAATATAATGCTAATGAAAGCAAGATTGCTTAAACACCTAAGGCTTATAAGGCTACTCTTTCAGAACAATATATTATGATAAACTGTGAAATAATGCAATTTAAATTTTAAACTTTGAAGGAAAGAATTATCCAAAATTACAACTATTTCATATAGTTTTCTCTTCATTTACCAATTATGTAGGACCTTTTTAAGAAAGAGAGCCAGCAGGTGGCATGGTGGTGAAGGGACTGGACTCCCACATGGCTAATTGCAGTTCAGGTCCTGGACCCAGTGCTTGAGAATCATGCTGGACATATGTGCGTGTGTGCCAAAAGTCCCGAGAAGAGATTGGAGAGGGGACTGCGGTCTGCCCCTTTGGTAGGCACACAAGCTGTATAGCAAAAACCTAAAAGAAAAAGAAAAGGTCCTAAAAAAAAAAAGGATAATGAATGTTATGTGAATGTTTTAGATGAACCAAATGGCAAGGTTTTTGGTTTTGTTTCAGTTTGTTTTCTTTATAGATGATTACATTACTGTTTTCATATAAAGCCTGAAAAAAGTTCATCTATGTTTCTTCCATCATTTTGCTGTGGATAAATAAGGGAAATTGCTACAGCTGCCTTGACTTTTATAAGGTAGCTATTTTAATTTTCATAAAAATATAAATATCTGGCTCCACCTTAGGGGCACAGGCGGTATGCACTGAACTGCAGTACCGGGAGCCACGTGGCTGATGGCGGTTTGGACCCCAGGCAGACACACACCAGACTGTGATGAGCTGGGAGTCTGGAGGAAGGGGGCTGCACTATGGAAAGACCTTGTGGACAGTGCTTGTTTTTCTCACATGCGTGTGCACACACTCAGTCTCAGGAATAAAATAAACTGAAAAAGGGGAGTACTGGGGCGGAGATTGAGAGAAAATAAACGAAAGAGTAAATGTACGTAAACAAGTGGAATAGGCCATGGAACTGTAAACCATAGCTGAGTAAACGTGTCAGGATACACTACAAAACAAAAACTAGTATGACTATTATCAAATGGGTACATCATCACATAAGTTCAGTGTTGAAGACGATGGATATGTCTACATCCTTGATTTGATTACTACACTCTACATGCTAGGAAAAACCGTTCCGGACCTCGCAAAGATGTACAACTATTTGTAAACTAGGAATCATAATTTCAAAATTAAAAAAATATATAAATATTCTGACTTTTGTACACATTGGAATCTTCTGGTATAACCAAAAAAGGTAAATATGTTTGAAATTATGATTTAAAAATAAATTGCACTAATAGATAAAAACAACTTTCAAAGAGGTTGAATTTTTTTCTATAAATACAATTATCATGATAGGTTTTAAGACAGATGGTGCATAGTAAGAAATCGTGGGGCCAGCAGTTAGCATAATGGCTATGCTGCTGGACTCCCATGTAGCCAACTGTGGTTCGAGTCCTGGACCAGGTGGCTTGAACTCACACCAGGAGCGTGTGTGTGTGTGTGTGTGTGTGTGTGTCTCCAAGATCTCGAGAGGAGAATGAAGAAGGGATTGTGGCGTGGCCACCCCCCGGGGGGGGGAGGTGATTTCTCGCTGTCTGTCTCTCTGTCTGTCTCTGTCTTTCTGGCGAGCGCACTCGCCCTATGGAAAAAACCTTTAAAAAAAAAAAAAGGAATCGTGTGCCAATTTTAAGAAAAAGCCAAATAGAAATGGCACAAATAAAACCTAGTTTTAGCACACACAAACTGAGCCTAGTAAAATTCTCACATGCTTTATAAGTTGTCTTTATGTGACATTAGATTACCAGGTGTAGAAAGGGAAGAATAACAGGAAAACTCTGACATGTACTGTCAAACCATTCTAAAAGTGACACATTTTTAAAAAAGTTGCCAAAGACCTTATTTCAAATGGCAATATTAACCATGAACATTCAAAGTAACATCAAATATAATTTTAGAATAATATAAAAGAAATATTCAATTTATAAGTAGGATTGAAATTATTTTAAAGTATACTTGGAACTGCATTTCAGAATCAACAAATTGCTGGGTTTGTTTCCTGATTTAATTTATAAACTTATCTGACTCACAATGCATATTTAAATTAATTACATATTTAAAATGAAAAATTATTGAAAATACTACAGAAAAAAACCTGTATTTTAAAACAGCAAAACAATATAACCATGAGTTACTCTGAATGCCAATTTAACTAAAAGATAAGCAGGTGGAATAATTCTATTTAGTGGAGCTAAACTTTGGCTGAAATCTTAAGGAACTTTTTAATTTTGTGCTACAAGGTGTGTGTGCTCGTAGGAGATGAGAGAGAGAGAAAGAGAAAGAAAGAGAGAAAGAGAGAGAGAACCTGAGAAGTCCTCCTCCCCCGGGGAAAGGGTATGCCACACCCCTTCTCCATTCTCCCCTCAGGATTTTAGGCATGACAGCTGGCCTGTGTTTTCAAGCTGCCGGGTCCAGAACTCAAACTGTGCAGTTGGTCATGCAGGATCCAAACACCTCAACCGCCATGCCACTGGGTGGCCCAGATTCTTTTTTTTAAGTAAAAGTTCATTCATTTCCTGAGAGCGAGCAAGCAAGCAAGATGGGCCACCCTAACAGGGCCCTCAAGCCACATCTACCTCTCTCTCAGCCACAGCATGTACCACGCATGCTTAGGGCGGTCCCGCACACCAGCTCAAGGCCTTGCCCATGTGGGTCCAGCTGCATCAGCCCTGCACCACTACTTGGCTCGAGGATTTTTATGTACTTATTAATCATTTATTATTTATTCTTTTTCTAAAGGATAAAAGAAAAAGATAGTTCTTCATTTATCTTCAATATCCCCTTTGCCATTTAATTTTCAGACCCTTTTATCAACTCATAGGAGAGTTTAAAAATTGTTTTTATGTGATCCAAGTCTATTGGTACTTTTTGTTATTTCTTGGATTGCTTTTTAGTTATGAAAACTCCATTATCCAGAAATGTGAAAAATAAAAACAAAAACACATTCAGTTACTTTTTCCTATTTGGTTTTTAAAACACTTAACCTCTTAATGCATCTAGAATTTATTTTGGCACCTTGGTGAAAATTATTGTTCAGAACTATTTATCAAATATATGTATAGAATTTAAATATTTAATATAATATCATTTATCTTAAGTCAAAATATAAAAATATTGGGACCCGCAGGTGGTGTGGTGGTTAAGGGTGCTGGACTCCCACATAGCCGACCACGGTTCAAGTTCTGAACCTGGCAGCTTTCTCTCTCTCTCTCTGTCCCTCTCTGGTCAAATTAAAATAAATAAAAATGAGTAAATGAATAAAGTTAAATAAAATAATTTTAAAAAATAAAAATATTTGACTGAAAACATTATGATGTTTAATAAATGATCACTGAAAAGATACTAAAATTCTTGCTGTAGCTGATTTTAAAAGCACATCTATTTACAGATTAAGATATAATAATGTATGGTATATGTCAAAATAACTAAGAGAAAAAAATGATAAGCCTGGTGACAGATATGGTAATAAATGATTTAATCACTTGATACCAAACTATTATTGTATTCAATAAATGTATATAATCACAATATGTTAATCAAAAATATTAACAATAAAAAAGAAGATATATTAAATCCTTTCTCTTCAGAATATGTCAAATCAAATTAAGCCTGAGTCAGTTTTGGGATTTGACCTAGATAGTTCTTCATTACATACATTAATTTTGCCGTTATGTCTTCCTGAAGCTGCAGATCACAGCCAACCATGGAACACCTACCGTACGGAGCCAAGTCTCGCCAGTGACTGTACTTACCAACTGCAAGGAGAAGAATGCTGGCCACAAAGCAGCCTGCGCCCACACTGAGGTAATAAACACCTACTCTCATCTCTGCCGGCCAGAGTGGGAAGAGGGTAGCTGCAATTACTGCAATCACTGGAACAAGAGATGACCAAGTTACTTGGATAATTTACAGAATAAAAACCTAAGCAGCCTGGTTGCAACAACAGTGAACACTTTCTTGAGGGAGGAAAAACTGAAACATAAACATATTGAAATAAAAATTGATAATTTTATTTATTTTTTGAGAGATTTTTTTGCTATAGAGCGTGTGTGCTTGCTGGAGAGAAAGAAAGTAAGAAATCGCCCCTTGGAGGCATGGCCACACCATAATCCCTTCTCCTCCACTCTCTTGGGATTTTGAGCATGCACACAGGCCTGGTGTTGAGTTTCAAGTGTCTGGGGTTGGAACTTGGCCATGTGGGAGTCCAGCACCTTAACTACTATGCCATCTGCTGGTCCCCTTAAGTTTATCTTTAAAGAAGGATCAATTATAAGCAATTTCATATCATTTGATCTAACATTTCATGTTATTTATCAATTGGATGAGGATTTTCTTTTCCTTTTTAGTTTTTGTTTTGCTGTAGGATACATGTGCTTGCGACAGACAGACGGGGGTGGGGGGGGGAAGAGAAATGATCCCCCAGGGGAGACTGCCACATCACAATCCCTTCTCCATTCTCCTCTGAGGATTTGGGGCACACATCACATGTACATTCTCCAAGCAGCTGAGTCTGGGACTTGAACCATGAAGGAGGCCATGTAGGATCCAGTTACTTTAACTTCCATGCCACTTGCTGGCCCAGGACTTTTTTTTTTCCTTTGGTAAAAATTACATATACAAGGTAAACATCCCTAATCTGAGCATCCTAAAGCCTAAATGCTCCAAACCTTGTAACTTTTTGAGTGCTGACAGGGTGCCATGAGTGGAAAATTCTACACCTAACCTTATGTGTTGACTTCCAGTCAAAACACTGCAGTACAAAAATACTGTATAAAATTACCTTCAGCCTATGTCCATATGAAATATAAATGAATTCTATGTTGTGACTTGGGTCCCATTCCCAAGATATCTCATTAGGTGCATGCAAATAAATATTTCAGAAATCTGACAGATACTCTGGTCCCAAACATTTCAGACAAGAAACACTCAATCTATAGTTTAAAAAAAAAGTGCTGCCTAAAAATGTAAAACTGTTAGCTCCTTGTACTCCCTGGTGTTTTCAAGCAGAATCTACCTTATTTTTTGAATATTAAGGTTGTAAGACTCTGAATAGGGAAGATTAAAGAACAAAACAAGCCTAACAAAAAATGATTCCATGGGGCTACCCTCGCAGCTCAGCAGTTAAGGAGCTAGATCTTAAATGGCTGACTGTGTTTGAATCCTGGTGGCTTGAAAAGTGCATATACATGAATGCTCAAAATTCTGACAGGATATAAAATGGAGGTAAAAGGCTTGCACTGTGACCAAGCCCCTACTGGACGGTGCTTCTTCTCTCTCTCCGGCAAGCAAATGCACCTCCTTGGGGGAAAAAGAACAAAAGAAAAAACAAAAACACCACAAAGAGCCCTCTGGAGATTCTGATTCTGGGTGGACTTGGACATCCACAGACTGAAAAAGCTCCTCAGTGATTCTGCTCCAATTTTTCTTTCAAAGTCAGGAATTGTATAGAAGCATTTCCAGTGTTATTGTAAGTAAAGCAGGGCTGTATGAAAGCATTGTAAGAAATTATGGACCAGCCTCATAGCACGGTAATTAAGTCCTGTGCACATGAGCTGGATCCCACAAGGCTGACCAGAGTTTGAATCCCTGCCTCGGAATCCTGAAAATCAGTCTGGTCCTGGGTGCGAGCATGTCCCAAATCCTGCTGATATGGAGAAACAGGAAAAGAACTGCGGCATCGTCATGTCCCACTAGATGATCTCTCTCTTAATCACTCTCCAGTGAGCACACATATCCTCCAGTAACAACACAACAGTTACAAGTAATTAGAATTGGGTTTGTAGATCTTTGGGGTAACACCAAAATTCAAATTCTAGTTTGTTTATTCGTTCGTTCATTCATTTATTTGCTAGAGGGTATGTGTGCTCACCAGAGACAGAGAGACAAAGGCAGAGGGAGACAGAATAAAGCTCCCCCGCTGGGGAATGGCCATGCCGCAGCCCCTCCTCCATCTCCCGTTCCTGGCACTACAGAACACAGACACATCCATGCCAGGCCTGTTTCTCAAGTCCAGATCTGGGACACCTACTGCCAGAACCATCAGGCCATGGAACCAGTCCACTCTATCGCTTATAAGCTAAGCAGTCCTAGGCAAGTTACTTAATACTTTTGAAACTAAGTTACTTTATGATTTAATAAGTGCTTGTTCCTATTTTCTAAAAGTTGTTAAAAGGGTGAAACAAGACTTCATAGGGAAAGTATTTAGCAAAGAACATTGTAAGTAATCAATAGCTACTCCTGATTTGGGTTGGGTTTAATGGCATTTTTAACTCCTATAAATATTATTTTGGGGCCAGCAGATGGTATGGTGGTTAAGATGCTGGATTCTTATATGGCCAACCAGGTTCAAGTCCTGGACAGAGCGGCTTGAAAAATCACAACAAATAAATAAATAAATTTTAAAAAGTTATTTTGAATGGGATTCTATACCATATTGACCAAGCTTATTTTTTTTTCTTTCTGGCGGGGGGAAGAGGTTTGTGCTATAGGGTGCGTGCGCTTGCCAGAAAAACAGACAGATGGCCACAACACAGTTCCTTCTCCTCTGTTCTCCTCTTGGGCACGCATGCACACGTACCCGGCATGAGTTTAAGCCACCAAGTCTGGGACTCGAACTGTACTCAACTACATGGGAGTCCAGCGACATAGCCATTACGCCAACTGCTGGTCCCAACCAAGCTTACTTAAATTGGTATTTTAAAAATAATTCTTTCCTACCCACTCCTGAACTTATAGAAAGACATATCCAGGTAAAAAAACAAAAGATACAGTGAGGATTGAATTTTCACTCAATTCTTGCTCTACTCCAAAGTCTGACCACGGTTAAGCTTATTTTTATTCCAAGACTGCCTGTATATAATTACAACTAGGTACGTACAATTTTTTTTTCTAAATAAATGAACTTTATATATATTTTATTCTTAGTCTATTACAACTTTATTTTTTCATATGATCTATTCTAGATATCTTTCCATCAGTACATCTTAATTCTTTAAACACTGGATGGTATTCTACTGTGTACTGTACTGTAAATTATTTTACCATTCTCCTATTTAGAGACTTGAATTGTTTCTAGTTTAATCCTTTTATAGACAATAATGCAAATACCTTTGTACACATATACTTTTGTACAACTGTGATTACAGCATAGAATAAAATCCTTAAAGTGTAATTCATAGGTCAAATGGTATAGGCATTTAAAATCTGCAAGATACTTGCTTGGTTACTCTCTTAAATATATTCCGAGGGACTTGGATTAAATTCAATAATGTGTGTGGGCCAGCCAGCGGCAAGATGGTTAAGGTGGTGGGGTTCCATATGCCAACTGTGTGGCTGAAGTCCCAGACCCTGTGGCTTGAAAAGCAAGCCAGGCATGTGAGAGTATGCCTCAAATTCCCCAAAATTGTGGCATTATCTTTCCCTGTGGAGGGTGCTTTCTCCCTCTCTCTCTCTCTTTCGTGAGTACATGTGCCCTCCTACAAAAAAAGAAAAGAAAAACAACATGTCAGTGCACTTACTTTGTGTACCCAAACGGGAACAGCCATGGGTTAAATTCCCAGACAGAGAGTTGCTGGGTCAGTGTCTATGCACTTAAAATCTGAAGGATACTGCCAAACGGTCCCCCATAAAAACTAAAACAAGGAACACTCTCAACTGTAGGAGAGTGCTGGTTTCTCCCTCAGACTACACTGTCAGACTGTGCAGTCGTCTTCATCTCTGCGGCTGTAATCTGTACTGATGAGTGCAACTACGTACCGCTCATGGGGACTGCGCACTGTGCCTCTTTACCTGTGAGCTACCTCCACCATTTCTACACTTTTTTTTTAAAATTTTTTTTATAATTCTTTTTTTTAGCTTTATTTATTATTATTATCATTGTTATTTTCCAGTTTGATCAGAGAGAGAGAGAGAGAGAGAGAGAGAGGGGAAGTGAGAAAGCAAGCCACCAGGTCCGAGACTCGAACCACGGTCGGCCATGTGGGAGTCCAGCACCCTCAACCACCATGCCACCCGCCAGCTTAGATTTATACACATTTTGAATCTCGTAAAAATCTTCGTTTTAATGTATTGCAAATAATTTCCTTTATCATTTATTGCCTGAATATATTTAAAGAATTAAAAAAAAGTGATAACTACTTTGTGCTTAGAAAATGCATGGTGTACACTGTAAAAATGTATAGTGATTAAATGTAAATAATACGTGTGTGTATATACGTGTGTGTGTTTGTGTATACATATATATATATATGTATATATATATGAACACGGCCCAGTCGGGCCTGATGACCTTGCCCCTGCAGTAGCAGCCACAGGATTTCTGAATCACAGATGAGCACCGATTCTGACCCTCTGGGTATTTTGGGAGACTGACTACACAGTGAAAAAAGGATAGTCATTGCCAGTGAGGAAACTAGCCTTATAAGCTTTTATGGGCACTTAGCAACTTGAAAACTCGCCTTGGAACCGGAGTCCAACGTCAGGACCAGGGGAAAGAGGACTAGGCATTCCTAAGGAGTGAAAGGCTCAAACACTCTTCTCCCTCTGGCCCTGCACCTGTGCCTCTTCTCAAATGGCACAGAAAGTTCAAGGGGGCCGAGGGGAAGGCCTCTGCCTGGAGCTCCGGGTGGTGATCAGGACCCTGTCCAGCTCTGCCAGGGTTCAGGCCCCCGTCCTGGTGCCTCAGGAGCATGGACAGCCAAGCACCTTGGAAGCGTGGCAGCATACCATATTGTAAAACAGGAGTTACTACCAATTGTAAAATGCATTCTGGCTTCAGAGATTAAAACTATTAAAGAATGGCCTACTGGTGATGATAAAATGATATTTACTATAAAATGCATCCCAATTTCAGAGATACTAAAATGGAAAAAAGTACTTAGAATCAGTGAAATTCAGCAATGCTATTTCTGATTAGCATTACTAAAATTCAAGACATTCTTGTGAAATAGGATTTCCAAACTCTCTAAAGATAGGTAAGCCCGTGTGCCTTGCCGGGCCGAGGTACTGTGGGCCCTTGAGTGTCCCTCCCCTGTGCGGTAACCGAGGGAGTGCATGATGGCTGCGCACGGACAAGGTGGTGCTGTAGGAAGAGGGGCTACTCACGAGCTCACACCATCTTTCTTTTTTCCTTTTTAAATAACTGAGACCAGCATATGGGGTGGCAGTTGGGTCGCTAGACTTCCACGTGTCAACCGTGGTTTGAGTCCCGGACCTGGCGGCTTAAATATCATAATGGGTGAGTGTATGTGTGCCCAAGAACCCGGGAGAAGAATGGAGGAAAAGAAACTGTGGTGTGGCCACCCCCCCATCCTTCTCACTGTCTCTCTCTCTGGCGAGCGCATGCACCCTAAAGTAAAAACTTCTTTAAAAAAACCCCAAAAAACAACTATTAGATGTGAAACTTATAAATATTTTCCTTTATGGCACCTGCATTTGTTTTTGTTAAATTATAGATTGTACTGTAAAGCTACTTACATGCTACTACTTACCAAGAATTAATCCCATGACAAATGTTTTAAAGTGAACTGGGTCATAGATCCACACATATACCTAGAATAATCAAGAAACTTAGTGCTTAAAAGTTTTAAGACTACACTGGAAAGTAAAGTTAATTCTGTATTTTGAGGTCTCTGAAGCAATCATCGCCTCTTAGCACACGAACACTACTTTCTAAGGTAACCCCGAAGGCCTTTCCTTCAGTAGTAGTGGGTCTTCTGGCATCCATCCAGTTAGAAAATAATCATAAGAAAACTACAAACTCTGCAATGCATTTAAGAGAATTTGTTTATACTTACATGCATTCAAGAATTTGTTCACACATACAAATCATCATTTAGTCAACCCGAAGACCAGCAATTGTCAACCTTTCTCTCTCCAGCACAATGACGAACCGGTGTGGGTTAAGAGCACAGTTAGGAGAGATTTCAGCTAGGTCCTACTATACAGAGCCAACATTTCTTAATTCCACCCTTTCTCTTCTGTTGATAAGGCGCAAACAACCAGTATTAAAGATCATGCTTGGTAAACAAAGAGTTTATGACTCTCTGTACTAACTGCCATTGTTCCCCCAGAGGTCTGTAGCCCGTAACTTGAGAAACACTGCCTCAGAGCTGAACTTACAAAAATGTACTTTTATCAGGTTACTATATAAAACAGATATGTATGCCATCATTCAAATCAGAACTCTGCTCAGCCATCAATCACCAGGCTTTGACATCTGGCCCAGACGGCAGTGCAGCGGGAATCCAAATGGACCCATGTGCAGAAGGGCCTGGGTTTGCACCCCAAGGCCACCTGTGCACGTGGCGAGCTCGTACGCAAGAGCACCTGCCTGGGCTAGCTGAGGTGGGGTGGGCCAGAGCATAAAGACCCTGGTGGCAGGGGCTATCTGGCCCTGTTTCTATTCCCTGAAGAAATTAAACTTAAAAAAGATATATCAAAGGTTTCCTAGCTTATTATATAACTATACTCTTTCATTTCGTAGCTCTATATTGGCTAGAACTATCATCTTTCTGACTTGGTTTTTCTACTTTTTTTTTTTTTTTTAAGAATTATTTCATTTAGTCATTTATTTAAATTTGATCAGAAAGCGACACACAGAGAGAGGGAGGGAAACTGAGAAAGCAAGCCACCAGGTCCAGGTCTCAAACCATGGTCGGCCATGTGGAAGTGTCCAGCGCCTTAACTACCATGCCACCTACTGGTTTCTACTTCATCTTTTTTGCCTTGGTTTTTTTCTTTTTTTTTTTTTTTTTAAGAATTATTTCATTTAGTCATTTATTTAAATTTGACCAGAAAGCGACACACAGAGAGGGAGGGAAACTGAGAAAGCAAGCCACCAGGTCCAGGACTCAAACCATGGTCGGCCATGTGGAAGTGTCCAGCGCCTTAACTACCATGCCACCTACTGGTTTCTACTTCTTTTTATTTTTCAATTTCCAGGGAACATGTGCACTTGCCAGCCAGAGAGAGAAGATGAGAGAGGAAGAGGGACAAAACACTCTGCCGTCTCCATTTCTCTGTCCTGTTGGGCTTTTGGGCAAGCACACATGTGTACCTGATGTGTTTTTCAAGCTGCTAGGACTGGGATTCTAACCACAGCCAGCCACGTGGGGTCCTGCTCTCTTAATCACTGGGCTGTGGGCCTGCCCTGCCTGGTCTACTTCAACCCCTTATTGTACTCGGCACTTCATCCCTGGGAATCAGATTTACAGATATTACTTCTGCCAGTTACCTTCTAAAAAACATGTTTTAATAAAATGACATTTCCCAACTTTAAAAGTTTCTGAAGGCATGCCACTTTCTACTTTTATTCTTTCTAAAATAAAATCTAGCCTTTTCAGGATGACAAGTTCCCATGCTTTTGCTCAGGTGGCTTCCTTCCCTAACAGACTCCTTCCGCATACACCTGCAACCTGCCAGTCATCCTTAAAGGCTCAGCTTGAGTGTCCCAGGTCTCCAGACACTCCTTATCCTTAAATGAATCCTTTTTTAGTTTTTGCTATAGGACATGTACACTTGCCACACAGAGACAGGGACACATACACAGAGAGAGAGAGAGAGAGAGCGAGAGAGCGAGAGAGAGAGAAATCACTCCCTGGGGGAATGACCATGCCATCATTGCTTCTCCATTCTCCTCTTGGGGTTTAGGCATGCATGTACACATGCCCAGTGTGATTTTCAAGCTGCTAAGCTTGTGACTCAAGCTGGCACAGCTGTCCATGTGGGACCTAGCACCTTAACGCCCACTCCATTTGCTGGCCCTAAGTGAACTATTTCTAGTTGGTGCTCACACCATAACCTTTGCCACACTGTAACACACTATATCGTACTATACAGTAACATGTCTAAATCCTCCTAATTGCTAGACTGTAAGAGCGTCCTCGCAGAGAGTTTTACTGTACTAATCATTCTATTCCCAGCACTGCTAAGAACGTATGGTAAATACAGCTAATGCTCCATGTTTAACTGAGGGTATTACAACTCTTATGTTAGGAAAAGCCTGCGGTCTTCTATTACAGGTTTTTTTTTTTTAAAGGTTTGTCATAGGATGCATGTGCATGCCAAAGAGAGACACAGAGAGAGACAGACAGTGAGAGGGAAGGTGAGAAATCACCACCTGGGGGGATGGCCACATCACAGTCCCTTCTCTTTCATTTTCCTGCCTGGCCTGATTTTCAAGTCACCAGGTTTAGGACTCGAACTGCAGTCAGCTATGTGGCAGTTCAGTATCTTAACCACTATAACACTTGCTGGCCTCTTACAGGGGTTCATAATGAGGGGTCCACATCAGACTCACCGAAGGATACTTGGGTGGGCATGCATCACCCACTATCCCATTCCACTCTAGAGATTCTCATACGAGTATGAATGGAACAAACCTACAGCACATTATTTTTGAAAAGTTTTCCCAGAATTCAGCTATACAGTCATAGGAGCTATTGCTTAAATAAGCTACTTTCATAGATACAGTGACAAGGGCTACCTTGAAATTCACAGTAGTTCAGTGGTCATATGATTAAGCACTAAATTAAGCAGTCTTCATGAAGGCTACCAACATACAATCTCCCATTACAAAAGATACAGTAAAAGCTTTCTTGGAGCAACGCATCAAGTAAAGTTGAAAATCTTATGCCTCCCCAAGTGAAGAGTCTGACCAATATGCTGTATAAGAAGCAGAGATCAGCAGGTGTCCTTAATGAACTATTCTGTCATTTTTTCTTTGGTGAAACTCTCCATTTTAGCTGGGCAAATAACCCATCAG